CCGTGCCAGGTTTTTGTATAATTAAGTGGGTACACTCCAGACTGTTTACAGCTGGGATCCCTGATGAGACTACTGTCTGAAAACTTTACCTGCTTTTCAAAACTACATATAGGCTGTCAAGTCCTTCAATAATTTCCTTTCTAGTGGCTGTTTCAAAAAGTTTTAAGCAATTTATTATTAAGGCAGCCAAACAGATGCTCCCCCTCCCCTCACTTTTAAAATTTCCTTTTTCTTATTTTATTCTCTGCTATGGGTTTATGCATCTTAATTACAGGATTGATAAAAAGCTGAAACAGACTAGTTGAATTTGAGGCATAGAAATGAGCCCATTTATAATATATTAATCAGTGGAATAATTAAGAAGCAAAGGGGAAATCTCAAGTTCATTAAAAAGAGTGACTGACAACACTGTAGGAAGAGACTTCTATTTGATACAATAAATTTTGATACTAAATCTGAAACAGTCATCAAAATACCTGCAACTGCAAGGAAGTAATGTATTAGCATATGAAACAGTTCTATTTTTTGTTTGTTTTTTTGCACAAATTGAGTAAGATGGAACAGCTCCTTTATTTACAGGTCTTTGTGCTCTACCAGTCTGCTGCCTCCTGTCACATCTTGTTACAATGTAAGAAACAAAATCAAATGGGAAAGGGGTTTCAAACAAATACTTCACTAAGGTAAGCACAACAGTAGACAAGGTAGGAAGTCTGTACACAGAGCCAGTCCTAAGGTTAAAAAAATAATACATTACTACCTACATTGTCTTTGATCAGTGACACAGGTGACCCAAACAGCCAACATTAAGTGAATTTGTCTGCTCCTACACATCACTTCCTCAGCATCCATGAGAAAATAGAGTTAACATGCAATAAATTGCACTTCAAGTCACAGACGATGAATTCACAAAGAAAAACAGAAGAATATAATAATCACTTCTAATAACCAGTAAAAAAGCATCCATGAAAGAATCAAAACATTGAGCCTTCCTTTTGTTTCACACAAGTAATGCCAGGCATCTTGAATGGCAGCTCCAAAGATGACAGAATCATTTTGGCTGGAAATATGGATGTGCTATTGCTTCATTATTGCATGGATTCATCATTTGCATGAAGGCTTCCTCAGGTGTTTCTACACCACCTCCTTGCCCTACAGCACAGGGCTACTGACTGCAAGACTGCTTCTAAATATTGTTCCCTGTGAGTGCAGGCCTTAAGGTAAAAATTGTTCTGGCAGCTGGGCAGCAAAAAGGGTTTTGGGGACAGTCCCTGACATGTGCCATTCTGAACTCCTGTAATGGGGAAGAATTGGCTTGAGCCTGATAATACAATTCTTTGCAGCTCTTGGAAGTAAGTACACCAAAGCACTTTTCATCTCTAAGATTAATTTTATTAGTACATAAACTACAGCAAGATCCATTTTTGGCAGGGAAAACCAATCCACTAAGCAAAAAAGATGTAAAGGTTTAGTAACAACTACTTCAGTGCCCTCTGAGTCCATGTCACAGAGCAAGTCAGCCTGCAACAAGAATACTGACTCCAAACATCACAACTATCTCAACAGATAATTTTCAAGAATAATTTCCTGGAGGAAACTTCAACAGACATGGCTTTTACTGTTGCTGAAGTGTAACTGAGTTAATACAAATGCAAAACATTTTAAAATACTTTGTTTCCTGAGCACTAAGCTCCATGCTGTGTAAAGCAATTATCACATCTCTCAATTTCCCAATCCTTATGTTATTTTATTAGAACTAATGAATGTTTTTAGCATACAAGACACTAAATAAGTTTGCATAGGATTGTAGCTGTCAGCCCACACTCATCTCTGTAGACCTAACACAAAAGATATAACAACATTTACACAGTAAATAACTATGTTGAATCCTGAACCACTCCTCATAGGATATGATTAATCCTTTAACCCACTAAATGCCCAAGGCTGAATTGGAGGGGGCTGGAAAAAACATTCTAATCACAGAGAGAGAGACTGGTCATCCAGGGCAACGCCAAAATCACTCACAGACAACATAACGCTTTGCATATAATCCAGTTACAAGAAATCAGTGCTCTACTTCAACTAAAATAACCTTGGATTTTCAGTGCTTCAGGTTGCTTATTCCCTAAGCACTGCAGAGCTCAGCCTTGTCAGGCTGTCTTCAGCTATTTGTCTAATTTTATTTTTTTTTTTATGATGGAGAAGAAAAAAAGAAAGCAATGGTAACTGGAAGGTTCACACAGGATTCTATACAATTCACAGTCTAAGTTAGCACACGTGAGTTCAGCCCAACGTTTATCACCCTGTCATTATGGATGAAAAGTTTTATGTCCTCCCCTGAAGAATCACAATTGTTCCATTACATTTTTCATTCAACTCCTGTGACTAAAGACATAAACAAAATACAAACGAATTTTCAATTTTCCTCCATATTTGAATCATGCAGCCTCCCCTTCCTGATGACCTCTGTTCCTCTTCTTCCTTGCTTTTTTCTATTATGTTTGAAAATCGAATATTTTTTACTGCAGGTGGGGAAACAGGGAGATAGCTTCTTACTCTTGGCCTGCAGTAATAAGGCTCAATGTAAGAGGTAATTAAGAATTTACTGCTTTGACATCCAAATTCATACAAGTGTAAACATTTGGCTCAGCAATTGAAGAGAAAAATTACACCTGTTTAGAAATAATTATTATAAGGAAGACTTGGCTACTATACTGTTTGATTTGTATTGTAAGCATAGAAGTTTTGGGCAGAAAGCACTGGCTTCTATGCTGTCCTGTAGGACTCTGCCCATCATACATTAGGATGAATCATAATTAAAAGTATTTGCTTAAAACTTTGGTCTTATTTTCCTCCCATGTGCCATCTGAGCCTTAAAAAGAATACCAAGGAACTGAATTAACTGAGTAAATACTAATGCAAGTATTATATAGCAATTGAATCACCACCCAAGATTTCTCCACTTCAGGAAAAGAAAAAATAAGGAAAAAAGAAAAGGTTTATTTGTAAAGGGTTAGGGAGATGAACAACTTTGGCCAACATTCACCTTTTAATTTCATACTGAAACAGCAGTTAGTTTTGTTGCTGTTTCTCATGAGTCAAACATAAACTGGGGGGGGGAGCAGCCTAGAGCTTTTATGCTGCCAATCTCCATGCTAATTTTAAAGATTCAATGTTTACATATAAACCCATGTACTAGATATTCAGCTTTTATTCACCATCAAACCCTATGACAGCAAAATCGAGGATCATTAATAAAGCAAATCAAACCCATTCATTTTAACCATAGACTGAAATCTTAAGACATTTCTTAAAATCTCCAAGAGCATTTATTTTCCTTTATTAAAAAAGACAAAGCATTTCAACCTGAGAAATACACTCAGTCCATTGTCAGTTATAAATATTCTCAAAGATGGTAGAAAAAAAAGACATATAAAGCAGAGCTTTATGATAAAATTTCTGATTCTACAGACACCTTAATAAACATCCTTGGCTTCATAACCATTATTTCAGAGAACTACTCAATATAGAAGGATTAATCACTTGAAACAAATATTACTATGATCTGATCTCAGAGACAGACACCTATCCTGTTCAGTACTTGATTTCATTAGATAGATACCAACTCTGCAGGCAAATCAAACAAGGACTTGAAGATCTGAAGAATCAGGAATGAAACAGTGTATCCAGCCAGCCTTAAACAGAACAAAACAGTTCAGTGAGAATGCAGATTTAATCTATAGCCTTTGTGTATAAACCTCATGTGCTTAAACCAGATAATTCTGTAGAACAATATATTATTTATCTAAAATTAAAATTAAAGCTAAAAGACTCTGACAATCAAACATTGCTATTTAATTTTAAAGGCAGCTTGGGGAATTGTAACAAAACAAGCCTCAGAGTTGACATAGAATTGCCTACTTGGAGAATGTAAATAATCAAAAAGCTAGTGTGAAAGCTGAAGAGATCCTGCTTTTTACTGAGTAACTACAGTAGGTTTTCCTTTTCCAATACCTTATAAGATTTATAAAATCTTCAAAATGGAAAACTCATTTTAAAAAATTGTATGACCTCTTTCCAAAGCCACTACAGAACACATTTAAAGCTTGCAGCACAGCTCACCACTCTGCAATGACACTGTAAGGCACTTCTAATTCACCAGTCTTGAAAGAAAAACAGGGGAAGAGGCCTTTTATCATCTCAGCCTTTTTCCTAGTATCAACCTGGAAAGGGCTTTTAAAATAAACAAGTCTTTTTAATATTTTCCTAATAGATGCTGAAAAGAAATCTTCAGTGTGAGAACTATGCTTAAAGAGAGAAAATGTGTATGCATCTCATTATTACACAGAAGAGCAAAAGAGGTGGGGAGTAATATTTGCTTATAGATCTCCCTAGGATGAGCACAAACTGAATTTAATGGAAATGAATTATTCCATCTTGTTCCTTTTGAAATTAACCGAAGTTCTGCCATTTTTTTTTTATAGTAGCACAGCCTGATCCTCAGTTAAGACTCTTGTCCTGCATACACTTATTATGGCACTCTATACCTAAGTGCAAATACCAAAAAAAACCCAAACACAAAACCAAAAATCCCCAAGCCACAGGATTATATTCCCACCTAGCATAAAGCAGTCTATCTTAATTACAGCAGAATTGTTGAGCAGAGAATCCAGGACATGCATTTTATTATTACTTAACATTTAAACAGACCAAAGAGGGAAGAAAAAAAATGTTCAGCTTGACTTTCAATCTTTTATATGTTTCTCTTTTTGCTTGGAGATAAAAGTTATAATTACTGAAGTGTAATTAGTCTCTTTCAATCTCTAATTTTCTGATAATAACATTAAGTTTTTAACAAAGCCAAGCCTAATTTAACTTTATAAGAATATAATAAATTGGTTTCCAAAGTTCAGCAAGGTATATGTTATTTCAAATAAAGTAAATTCTTGGACCTGGATGACTTGCTTATCTACCTTTCAATAGATGATCTCACTTGTGTAAGAATGTCAGGAACAGCAAGGACTGGCTGCTCCCTGCAGGACAGGGAGCTGAGGATATGCTGCACCATAGCTGAGAAAGGTGAGCAGGGCAGGCCTCGCGAGCAGCCAGGTTCAACCAAGAGTCCAGATGAACAAGCAGCTTTATGGTGTCACACCAAGCCAGGATCAGACTTAACGACAGAAAGCAGTCAGACAGCCAGGTAATTGCTGGGCATATCCATAGCAGCCAGACAGATCCAAAGGCAGCAGCCTAGGGACAGAGACACACTCAAGCAGGCACAGGCATGGCCATAGCTGAACCAAAGACCTAGACCCCACACTCCTGCAGTACAGCTCAAGAAATCCCCCAAGCTGAAATCCCCCAGGCTGAGCTGAAATAGGACTCTTGGGTCTGTGGGAGGGTGGGAGAGGTGGCTCCAGGTGAGGCAGGGCAGGGCCATTGATGTCTATTAGTGCCCTCAGGTGTGACAGAAAGAGATGTGTTTCCATTTTTCAAGCAGCAGCTGAAGCTTTTTTCCTTAGTTTTCTCTAAGGAAAAAAAAACACACAAAAACAGCAGTAGAAGATTTCAAAAGAAGTATCGTATTTTACAAAGCTTTCTAACTTAATTTTTTTTTTCCTCAATGACCAATGTAGGTAGCTAGTCTGTATGGCCTATGGGTTATACAAGATTACTATTGAAGAATTGAAACCAAGGCCAATCTGAGAGAGCTCCTGAAAATAAGTTATTTTTATGTAGGATTTTTAAAAGCTAGAAGTGTTGAACTCCAACCTGAGAAAAGTTGACCATTTCCTGAGAGGTTAAAAAACTTCGACTTCCATTACCACTCTCCCTCTACTAACATCTCAATCTTGAGCTTCCTGAAGTGTCCAGGAAGTCTCTGAATCACACAGAAAGTGAACTGGTGCACAATGCCTTTTACTAATATTTTTGTAAATGTCTTAATGCTTTGATTTAATTAATTTACACAGAGTGTCTTAAGACACTAAGGGAGACATTGATCTGTCGTCCTGTAGATACGTATGTGCATAAGGATATCTAGGTTTTCTGGTCCATGAGTCGAAAGCAGTTATTTTGCCCTAATGGCTTCAGAAGGGGAAGTGCACTAACCAAAACTGCCACAAAGAATAACTAGACTCATGGAGACTTTTAGAACAATTTTTAGGCTTATGTTAACTAATCTGCATCATGGCTTGTAAATAAGTTTATTATATAATTAAATATATGGCAAACAAATACAGTAGATTCATCATACAGAAGGAAAAGTTCAATTTCTAGCTACCTTTTATTAAAAAATAAAACCAAGTCTGTCCACCACTTGTTATGAAGCACTGCTAAAAATATTTTGGTTTTCAAACGGAAAAAGTTGCACTCGGATAACCCATTTAAAACTGCAACATTGCTGTCTGTAAACTGTGCACATACAAATATCATCATGTTATTTGGTGTTATTACCCATTCCTTTGTCCCTGAACATATTAACTTGGGAATCTGACACAGAAGGAAGGTTGCATTGACAGCCTGATTACTGCAGAGATGAGCCAGGACTAACCAGGCAACTTTGGAGGGCTTTCATGTTGACTGAAAATGAAATTATGAAGTTAGGGGAATTCCTGAACTTAATTCATTACCTGTCGGATTCAAATGTTTTGTAAAAGGTTTTTCATGTATTGTAATGCTTGAGTCATGCTTTTCCTCTCTTAAGGGTATCTCACCTAATGACTCTCAGCTCCCCAGGGCTATACTGTTCACATAGCTTTTTGTTTTCCCCTTTCCTTGGGAAGCTATAACATATTGTTTCAGGAATTTGTAATTAGGCAGTGCTCTGTTTTTATCTTTATCTCTTCACTGGTGCTTGATTCCCTCCTCAATTCTTACTTCAGATGTTGAGAATTCAGAATTTCCTGTGCTTCTGGAAGGTCAGGACAACCGGTGTTCATTTCTAACCTGACACCAGTCCGACCTCTGTGTTTTCCTTTGTTTGATGGGCATGTAACAATAGCAATGAGAGCACAGGGGATGTCAGACTGAACCTGGAGCTGCACGTGCCTGTAGAGCTTCACTCATTAACAGCCCCGGTGCACTTTAGAGGACTTTGGGCTCATGTCTGGAGTTTTTTGCTACAGGTCCCAAAGGGCACACTACACTCAGGACCGCGTCCCCAAATTACACAACCAAGTTTGTGTGGTTTCCTGCACTTACTTCAGAGCAAAGAGCAGCCCTGGCCTGTGAAGTAACTCTCTGCTCAGCTGCTCGCGCTGACAGCCGACAGGCTTCCAGCAGCCCCAACGC